CCACCTGATGTAACACCCACAGCGTCCACCCGAGAAAGGCGATCGCCCTGGCGCCCCAGGCCCCGTGCTCCTGGGAGGAGCCCCGTTCCCAGAAGCCTGTCCCTGGACACTGCCGTCAACCTCCAAGTTCATTTCCTGGTTAAATAAACATCTACATTAAATGGCCCGGTTGGACAACGCCCATAAACAGCTTCTGAGGAGAGCCTCGGGCGCATGGCCTCCCTCTTGTCTGGCTGGCGAAGACACATCCATCATTGGCAGAGGCACTAAGGCGGGACGGCCGGGACGGCCCACCCGGAGTCTGCCTGTCTGGCGGGAGGGCTGCGGGGACGTGCAGAGTGGCCAGTGCCCCGACCCGACCAGAAGTCCAGCCCGCAGCTTTGAGATTATAACAATGGGAATGACAACAACACCAGAAGCGTGGGTGGGGGTTGACCTCTTACTTCCATCCGTCATCTTATGGAGGGAGGGACTATTGACCCCCAACTTCCAAAGAAGAAACTGAGGCGTCTGAGGGGGGTTTGCCCTTGGTCACATAGCTGCTCATGGCCTGGCCGAGATGCTGACCCGGGTGCCCTGGTGTTTGGTGTAGTGCTTTCTTATGTACACAGTAGGCACTCCTCTTGAGGATAAGAATCAGAAGAGCTGAGGTCCAAAGACTAGCCCAGGCCTCTCCTGGAGTGTAAGTCTTCTGCTGCCGGCCCTTCAGGGCAGGTAAAGATAGGTACTTCCCAATTTGAAAAACCCACCACCATCTGTAATGAGCAGAGATGCCATTTACTGAGTGCTTGCTCTGTGCCAGGCACGTTGTTGAGTGCTGGGATGCTGGAGCCACACTTTCTGGATGTGAATCTTGGATCTGCCACTTATTAGCATTGATTTTGGGCAGAGGGTATGACTTACTTGTGCCTTAGTTTCCTCATCTGTAAAATGGTGATGATAAGTACCTACCTCATAGGTTTGCAGGAAGATTCAGTGAGATAATATGTGTAAAGGCATGCTGCATGCACAAATACATAATTTCACATCTATATTAAGTGCACACACTCGCAGCAGCACACATGGAGACCACATCTAGACACACTGCTGCACCCCAGGGCTACTCAGCTGCACTCTCATCCATGAATACACCCATCACCTAAATCTACAGACATTTACCCAGCACCTACTATATGCTGGGCACGGGGCCCACACAAGGACTAGCCCCTGAACCCCTTTCTCCAATCTCTAACACTGTTCAGATTGTGATGCCACCACCATTTCTTGAGTCCCTTTGAAGCACCCCATCCCTTTCCTTAAAAAAATAAAAGTATAAGAAAGAAGAGAAGGTAATATGTGTAAAACGGTTAGAGATATATTTAGCTTAGTACATACTAAGTGTTCAGTAAAAGCTAGCTATTATATTATTAAATAGTTATTATCATCATCATCATCCATGTTTTACAAATGGAACTCAGAGAAGAGAAATAACTTTTGTCCAAGGGCATAGGCACAAGGAGAGGTGGAGCCCAGAATTTGCATCAGGCCTTCTCAGCATCCTGCTGGACGACAAATGAGAATTGAGTCACAGGCCCCTGGAAGATTGGAGGTTGGAGGCCATCTTGACTCTTGTCCTCATTTTATAGGGCAAGAACCTGAGCTTTCGGATCTCTTGTCCTTACTCTGTAGAACAACTCCCTTTATGGAAAGCTTGACCACAGGGTTTTCTTAGCTGTAGAGGCCTGTCCTGGCAGAATACAGTTTCCATTGAGAGGGTTTTGTTTACAAAGCCTTTCCGCAGTGGGGCTCTGAAGGAGCCCCCACGCTGGGAAGAGTGAGCCGCTCTTGTCCACAGAGCCCCGCACTAGCCCTGCAGATGCAGAGGGCAGACGGTGAGTCACATTCGGCGCCAGTGGGAGGGCGGGAGGCCAGGTGAGGCTGGAGGCCTCTGCAGGCCTCACAAGTTTCCCTCCTGCTCCGTGGATGCCGTGACAGCCGCAATGAGATGCAGGAGGGAGACTAGCTACACTGTGGTCCCAGGATCTGCACTGTTAGGGTGGCTTCAGAGGGACTGAGTCTCCAGAAAACACTAAGAATATATTAGAGATGGATTAGCTAGGGAGAGAACTCACTTATTGAGCACCTACTATGTGTTGGGCAGTGTATCTAATTTTATCAGTTTGTTCAAACATTTATTGAATTTTGGGTGTAAGGATAACATTAAGGAGTGTGCCTGCTATAAAGAAAAGTACAGTGCCCTGGCTGGTGTGGCTGAGTTGCTTGGGCATGGTCCCTTGCACCAAAAGGTTCCTGGTTCAGTTCCAGGTCAGGGCACACGCCCCGGTTGCCAGCTCGATCCATGATGGGGAGGTGGTGTGCAGGAGGCAGCCAATTGATGTTTTGCTCTCACATCGTTGTTTTTCTCTCTCTCCCTCTCCCTCTTTCTCTGAAAATTAATTTTAAAAATCTTTTGAAAAGAAAAATCCAGCAAGATAAAGGGTTGGGGTAGTGATTCTCAACAGGGGGCGAGGTTTTGCCCCCAGGGGACACTTGGCAATGCCTAGAGACATTTTTGATTGTCACAAATGAGATTGGGGGCTTCTACTCTCGTGGAGCAGGTAAAAGCCATGGATGCTGTTAACAGTCCTACAACAAAAGTTGTCTGGCCCAAAATGCCAGTGAAGCCAAGGCTGAGAAACTCCGGGTTGAGAGAATGACTCTGTGTGTTCTTCAGGGCACGGGGTCACAGATGGCCACACTAAGGATGGGATGTGACCTTTGAGCAAAAACCTGAAAAAGCCGAAACCAGTTTGGCTCAGTGGATAGAGCGTCGGCCTGCGGACTGAAAGGTCCCAGGTTCAATTCTGGTCAAGGGCATATACATTGGTTGCGGGCAACATCCCCGGTGGGGGGTGTGCAAGAGGCAGCTGGTTGATGTTTCTCTCTCATCGACGTTTCTAGCTCTCTATCTCTCTCCCTTCCTCTCTGTAAAAAAAATCAATAAAAAATATATATTTTAAAACGTGAAAAAGTCAGAAAGTAAGAATGAGAAGATATGGAGAAGAACATCACAAGCATAGAGGACAGTGAGTGCAAAGGCCCTGAGTCAGGAACACATAATAAAAAAGACCAGAGTATGAGGTCAGGTTGATTATTTTCCAGCATGTTTCAGATGAAAAAAATCTAAAGCTCAGGAGTAATGGTTTGCCAAAGATCACACAATTAAACAATGCTGGGCCAGAATTTGAACTTGGATGTGCTCAATTCCAGAGCCCATTTGCCTTCCACTGCCTCAACTGCTACTGTCAGATGATTGATTTTTAGGTAGATATTTATGTATAGATAGATTTATAGATCTATAGATGGATTTCTATATGTATACATATATTTATAAATTTTACACACACACACACACACACACACACACACACACACACACACTAGAGGCCCGATGCAGGAAAATTCATACAAGAGTAGGCCTTCCTTCCCCCAGCTGCCGGCACTGGCTTCCTTCCAGCACCTGGGACCTGGGCTTCCCTCCTCCTGCCACCGGCAGGCATCCAGAACCCAGACTGGCCTCCCTCTGGCCCCAGCTTCATCAGGAAGGACATCCGGAATGATGTCATGTCGAATTAGCATATTACCTTTTTAATATATGGGGAGAGAGAGAGAGAGAGAGACTCATTTAATCCTTACAATATACGTGTGTGTTAGATAACATTCTATAAATGATTTGTTCAACTTGTGAAAAAGGCAGAGGCAGGATTTGAACCCAAACTGCCTAGTTTCTGAGTTCATGTTCGTAACTGCCACACTGTATAGTGGCTCTCTCAGCAGGTAGTGTGTTTCTAGAGTAGATTGTCCACTTGACCAGTAACTTCTCAAGTTTGGTAACACATAGGAAGTGAATTTAAAGGTCATTTTGTTCACACACGAGGAAACCGAGACCTGACCTCGGAAGGTTACTTGTGTAGGGTTGCAGTGGGAGGTGGTGGCAGAACTGAAACCAGAAGCCAGGCATCCCTCCTGAGTGTCCTCTGCTCCACCATGGGCCACTTTCCCCCTTTCTCCCTGTCTCCTCCCCCCCCACCCCCACCCCCACTTCCCCAGCCATGCCTGCACATTCCCAGCATCCACCATCTGTTCTGCCAGGCTGCCCATAGAGTCTTTGTTCTTCTGGATCCCAGCCACCAGCCATGTCTGATGTGCAGATGTGCAGCAGGTTTGGAGCTACAGAGGAAGGGCCTGCTTGTGGCAGAATGCCCAGGCACCTTCCTTACAGGTGTGGAAGTTGGGGCTCAGATAGGGTATGTGACTTGCCTTCTGAGGTCAGCCAAGAGCATTAATGCTTCCAAAGTGGATAATTCTCTCACTTATTCATTCTTTCAGTCAAAAGAAGGAATCTATGGTATGCCGGGCACTGCTCATGCAGAGGTGAAATCGCTGGTCCCTCCTGGGGAGACATAATTGGGGTCCATTTGCAGTCTCCTTGTAGTTTAGCTTCTGATTCTGCACTGCTTAGTATTGCACTGCCCAGAAAGGATAGCTAACCCAGCCAGTTCAGGGAGGGTGTCAGGAAAGTCTCCTTGGAGGGGGTGATGCTGTGGCTAAGTCTTGAAGGATAACTGGGAGTTAGCCAGAGAGAGAAGGGGAAAGGGACACTGAGGGAGCAGCAGCTGTAAAAGACAAAAGTAGGAAAGAGCTCTCCCTATGCACAGAGAATTACAGGTTATTCAAGATCACAGCACTTACTATATATCAGACACTGTGCTGAGCATTAGCTCAATAACCTTCTGAGTTAGCTGCTAGTAAATGCACATCTACAGATGAAGAAACTGAGCTGCAGGAAGGTTGAAGATCACACAGGTATTGAGTGTCAGGGAATGAACTGAGAAGTTTGTGGGATTTGCCTTGGGCAGCATGGAGGTCCTTCTATGAACCTGATGCTTGTGGATCCGAGGTCTCCCTCTGGCTGCCCCCATTGGTGCTGCCCCTCCTGACGGTTCTGTTTCCTCCCGCAGGTGGAAGGACAGTCCAGAGCCCAAGTCATCGCACAGGAACTGCTGTCTTCAGAAAAAGCGTGAGTCCCTAAGCAGCTGCCTGTGGCCTTGAGCTTGTTAACAGAACATCACCCCTACCTGGCTTATACAGGATGGGAATTAATGCAAACTCCACCTCCTTTCCCTCTACAGATACGTGGAGATGCTCCAGCACTTACATCTGGTGAGTTAATCATTCTAATTGCCCAAAACTAATAGCCCTTTTACAAGGCGGCGATATAAGAATAGCAATGAAGAAGCAGAGGTGATTTCCATGAACAGAGGTTTGGCTGTAGGCATGTGTTCTCAGAGGCTTTTCAGGGAAGTCTGTCTCCCAATTCACATGATTCATGGTGGACGGTGCCATGCTGTCTATGGACATGCCCAGGGGGGTGCTGCTTGGGGGATGTGGTGAGATTTCTGGAAGGTTAGCTGTGGTTTCCTCAGCCCTCTTGTTGAGGAAGGCAGGACAGCTGTAGTTTTGAGGTATTGCTGTGTGTGTGACTTTGTGTGTGTGTGTGTTACATGTTTTGGTCCATATAGAGATGGTGATGTGTTTGCATAGTGACAGAGCAGTTGGGGGTATCATGAGGCTTTTCTTAGCTATCCCAACATTGGGGCAGTTATGCCTGACTTAGTGGTGAAGGAATCCTCTGGACTCTCAAAGGAAAGGAGGCCAGACCTGGGGACTGACCAGATATCAGACACCCCTACCCTTCACAACCCGAAATATTGCCTGGAAAGTTTCCTTTGCAGTCTGCTTCAGATCAACAGATATTTTTGAACGGTTGCTGTTGAGAAGAGCTGGGAAATGGAAAGACAGATCAGACAGGGCCCTTACCCAGGAGCTATCTGGCCAGTGAAGGAATCAGATTAGTGAATCAATATTATTCAAAGCACAAGGGGAGTGACTGACAACCTGGGAAAATCTAGGCAGGCTTCCCTGAGGAGGTGATACTAGAGGAAAGGAAATAGGGTACAGCAAAAATACGGGAATTGAAAGGATGTAGTGGGTTCAGCTATCACAGGCTCTTGTGACAGCTCCTTACTACTCTGGGCCTTTCAGCCATTTGCAGTCTCCTTGTAGCTTAGTATCTGATTCTGCACTGCTTGGTATTGTTTGCCATGTCTTTCCAAGAATGTCAGAACTGGGGATGTCCACCCTGAACATTTTGTCGGTGTTATTAAGGAGATTCAGAGGGAGTGACTTGCCAGGGTCACACAGTGACTGAGCCAGTTATTCTCCTGACGCTCAGTACACTGTCGTCCCGTGTTAATCCTGAATTTCCAACTGCCTTTGGATTTCCTTGGGGTAGGGACCTCTCTGGAAGAAGCAAAGCACCAAGCCAAGTCTCCTGCCGAATGCAGCTGAGGTCCCTGTCAGTGATACTACCCTGGGGTCGCATTGCTGTGTGAGCAGGGGCCCCCACGTCCCCAGGAGGAGACAGAGCACTGCTCCGCTCTGCCATCTCAGCCCCTCGTTTTTGCCCTCAGGAAGAGAGCTTTGTGTGCATTTTTAACCTCAACGCCCTCATGTATGAGATGGAACAGTACCCTCCTCCCACCTTTACATCTAAAAGATCTATTTAGCAAGGGCAGCGACAATCACTCTTACGTGTGGGTTTTTTTTGTGTTTTTTTTTTCTTCTCTCTCACTTGCTTCTGAGCTGGCAGCATGTCAGAGAGGGGCTGGGCTTTTTTGTTTTATGACTTTGTTAAGAGGGTTTTAACTGGGAAACTTCCATCTGTGTTTGCACTGCTTCCTGCCAGTTGGAAAGCTGCTGAAGCTGCTGGTAATTCATAACCTGAGGAGGAAAAAAAAAAAAAAAAAAAAGCCCATAAAAATCGCAACTCATAAGCTAGTTGCGGGAAATTGTGGCCTGGAGTTACATGTATGATGTCAGAGCTTATGGGGATAGAAATGGCAGAAATGCCACAATGTGACTCCAAGTGCTAGTCTGGGACCCTAGTCAAAAGGAGACTCCTAGACTTTGGGGCGTTTCACTCCACTCCCCAACCTGGTTCTATTGCCGATTGCTAAGTGGGTAGGTTCTCTTTCAGAGCTTCTCCTTGGAGATGTGATGCTGTTGAAATCCCAAGGCTGCCCAGTGATGAGGAGGGGCAGCTGTGCCTTCTAAACCTCCCCAGCTGGAAAAGTCCTCGACTCCATATGCTGTTGTTGAGAGGGGGCTGAGGGTGACCTCTGGTCTTCTGAGTTTGGGATTCACCTCTGTGCTTATCAAATAGTACTAGTAGATAGAGCTAACTCAGAGATTACTAAAAATGCTGATCATCCAAGATTCCGTTTTGTAGAGCCTATTAATTAAGAATGGGTTTTACACGTTTTAAACGTTTGCTGGAGGAAAAGGCAAAGAAGAAGGAATGAATAACGGAGACCATCTGTGAAACACAATGTCTGAAAATATCTATCTGTCCCTTTACAGAAAAAGCCTGCTGACTTCTGATTTAAAAACTCACTCCATCCTTCTGAGAACCTAGTCAAAAACACATTCATCCACCTGTCCATCTGCCTCCATTCATCCAGCCAGCCTTTCACCCACTCATCTGTCCTCCCATCTAGCCATGCATCTAAGGACATGTCCATGCAGCCATTTACCGTCCTCAGTTCATCCACTACTCATATGTTCACCCATCCATCTAACCATCCACCCTTCTATTCATCCAGTCATTCGACTCTCCATCCATCCAACTTATTCCTTCTGAATGGAACAGCACAGGAGGTACCATAGGGAGTGAGATAGGCTTTGGAGCCCCAAAGATGAGCCTGCTCTTGAGGAGTCTCTCTTTTATTGAGGGGTAAATGTGGGGAGAACGACTTATGTCTGCAGGAGCGTAAGGGAGGGAGAGACTTACTCTCCGTTGGCCTATCCAGGAAGGGAGGCAGGAGAATTGACACTGGGGTGGACTTTGAATCAGTGGACAAGGCGAGGTTCTAATGGAGGAGGGCTCGTAAGGCAGGTGTCAGCGTGGACATGCCCACTGGCCTACATGTATATACATGATATGTCTGGAGAATGGAGCATCATCATTAGAAAATGGTTAGAACATGGATACGTTTGGAAAGGCAGGTTGGAGGTGGAAACAGGGGTCAGGTGATGGGTCCAAAAACAATGTTCGGACCAGATTGAGAAGTGCTTAAAATGTCGGGCCGAAAGGTCTGTAACTTTCCTTTGTGTATAGTGAGTCCTTGGAGATTTTGAACAGACAAGGATGTATTGAATCCTGTTTTCTCATCTAAAAATAAATAAATAAATCCCTCTCTTAGCAGCAGCTAAAAATTCCTATCCCATGTCCTTTATTTGGGCCAAGGTATGGAAGGCCTGTTCAGAATCCAGTCTGCCGACTAGGAGAGGTGACTCTGGCAGTTATCACCGTCTGGCGCCCCGGGAGAAGTTCTTAAACCTCAGAGGGCCCTACGTGATCGGGTCCTTGTCTGCCGCCCCTGTACTGTCTCCAGCCACAGAGCGAATGAAGTCACGTCTCCTGGCTTTTCCACTTTGCTTTTCCCTCTGCTGGAATGTCCTGCCCGTGATCTTCTCGTAGCCAGTTCCTCCTTCTCACTCTGGTCTCAGTTCAAGTATCACCTCCTCAAAGAAGAGGAGTTGCCCCGAAACTTAATGGCATAAAACAACCATTTTATTATACTCATAGGTTTTCTGGGCTTTGGATAGGGCAAAGTGGGGGGAGCATGTCTCTGCTCCAAGATGTCTGGAGAAGCCTTAGAGACTGGGCTGACTCACCTGAAACCAATATAATATTTTATGACAACTGTAACTGGAAAATAAACTTTAAAATAAATTAATTAGATTTTTAATTTAAAAACAAAGACTAAGGGTGACTTGATGGCCAGGGCCTGGAATCACCCAGAGGTGCCTTCACTCCCATGGCTGCTGGTTGGTGCTGGCTATTGTCTGGGACCTCAGCCGGGCTGTTGGCCAGAGTGCTTACTTGTGACCTCTCCATGTGGTCTCTGCATGGGCAAGCTTGGGCTTCCTCACAGCATGGTGGCTGGGTTCCAAGAGTAAGTGTCCCAAGAACGAGCCGGGAGGAAGTGCATGGCATTTTTATGACCTAGCCTTGGGAGTTAAGTAACACCACTTCCACCATACTCTTATTAGTTGAGATAGTCACAAAGGTCCACCCAAGTTCAAGAGGAGAGAATGAATGTAGTCTCTATCACTCAGCTGGAGGAGTATCGAGCTCACGTCGCATAAAGACCATGTGTGAGATAGGAGCTATTTCTACGGCTACTGTTGAAAATTATACTACGGAAGTCTCCCCTAATAATTCTGTGTCAATTAAAAATGGTATTTGAGTCCTGGCCTGTGTGGCTAATGGTTAGAGTGTCGGCCATGGACCGAAGGGTCAGAGTTTCAATTCCTGGTCAAGGGCATGTATCTGGTTTGCAGATTTGATCCCCAGCCCTAGTCAGGGCATGTGCAGGAGGCAACCTATCAGAGTGTCCCTCTCACATCAATGTATGTTTCTCTCTTGCTCTCTCTCTCTCTCTCTCTCTCTCTCTCTCTCTCTCTCTTCCCCTTCCATCTCCCCTGCCCTCCCTTCTTTCCACTCTCTCTAAAAATTAATGGAAAAAATATCCTTAAGCGAGGATTAACAAAAATATTTGTATTTGAATGCTAGTAATAAAAACCCAATTATGATGGTTTAAATAATTTAGAGACTATTCTCCCATGTAAAATAAGTCCATGACAAAACCGGTTTGGCTCAGTGAATAGAGCATCGGCCTGTGGACTGAGAGGTCCCTGGTTCGATTTCAGTCGGGGGCATGTACCTTGGTTGCGGGCACATCCCCAGTAGGGTGTGTGCAGGAGGCAGCTGATCAATGTTTCTCTCTCATCGATGTTTCTAACTATCTATCCTTCTCTCTTCCTCTCTGTAAAAAAATCAATAAAATATATTTAATAAATAAATAAATAAAATAACTAGGGTCGGTTAAACAACTGCCCCTTTTCCTTTAAAAATAAATGAATAAATAAATAAATAAATAAATAAATAAATAATAAAATAAGTCCAGAATCAGGAGGTCCAGGTTAAGTTTAGAAGCTCCACAAAGTCTCAGGGACTAAGGTTCCATCTATTTGCTGCATCCTTTCCATGAGTCCTCATGAACACAGAAGGCTGCTGCCGCTCCAGCCATCACATC